TTTTCGCTGTGAGCCGTGGGTTTAGTCAGCTACACGTGTGTTCATTCTGAGCCCAGGGTTAGAGAGGGAACAGCTCCCTACTGGTGAGGACCCAAGTGCAAAGGAACAAGCCCAGGCAAGCTCATGTTAAGCTTTTGCCTGCATCAGATCTGTTGACATCCCTTTGGCTAAAGCAAATCACATAAGCAGTCCATGGTCGGGGTGGGAAAGTACGCCACCTCTGGTGGGAGCGCTGCAAAATCACTCAGCAAAGGGGGTGGAATTGGGGTGGTTAGGAATTTGGGGCCTGAAATTTAAGCCCTCATCTTCACATGGCTAACTCCTACCAGTTCTTTGAGCTTTGTGGGTCAATTTAAACCTGTCTCCTCCGTGGCCTGCACAACCTTTCCACCAAAAGGAATTGTTCCTTTTTCTAAACTGTTACTTGATCTGTATCCATCCTAAGAGATGTGTTACTTCCTACCTGTACCCATTATAAAGGCCTCCTTCCACCAGGTTAAGTCCTGTAGGGCAAACCTTTGGCTAATTCATCTTCATTTCATCAATGTGTTTGTCTCTAAAAACTAGTAAAATAGTTGTTTTAAGTGGGATTATGGATTTTTTTTCATTTATTTTTATTAGTTGGAGGCTAATTACTTTACAATATTGTAGTGGTTTTTGCCATACATTGACATGAATCAGCCATGGATTTACATGTATTCCCCATCCCGATCCCCCCTCCCACCTCCCTCTCCACCCGATTCCTCTGGGTCTTCCCAGTGCACCAGGCCCGAGCACTTGTCTCATGCACCCAACCTGGGCTGGTGATCTGTTTCACCCTAGACAATATACATGTTTCGATGCTGTTCTCTCGAAACATCCCACCCTCGCCTTCTCCACAGAGTCCAAAATTCTGTTCTGTACATCTGTGTCTCTTTTTCTGTTTTGCATATAGGGTTACCGTTACCATCTTTCTAAATTCCATGTATATGCGTTAGTATACTGTATTGGTCTTTATCTTTCTGGCTTATTTCAGTCTGTATAATGGGCTCCAGTTTCATCCATCTCATTAGAACTGATTCAAATGAATTTTCTTTGATGGCTGAGTAATATTCTATGGTGTATATGTACCACAGCTTAGGATTATGGATTTTTTTAATGTGGTGAAATTTATGTAACATAAAATGTACTGTTTTAATCATTTTTAAGTGTACAGTTCTGTGACATATCCTATATTCACATTGTGCTACAGGTTTATTTTTCTTCAGACTTCTGACTTCTCACATGCGTGGACCTCCATACTTCTTTTGGAAGGAGCTGCTTGATGGGCATCTGTGAAGGAAGGACTGCACGCTTGAGTTCTCTCTTTTTCTGTCTTAACTTTTGGCTTTTTTTTGGAGCAGGTGTTCTCTGCAAATAGTTGTCAATGTATTCTTTATTCGGACTCTTCAAGCTCGCTGCCATAGCTGAGGTGTGTGTTTTTGGATTACGATCTAACAGACCACCACCACCACCCACCCCATGGTCTGAGATGTGAATAGGTATAAGGCACAGGGTAGGAATGGGAAAATGATACAACATAATGCTAATCTCAAAGTCTTAGCAGGATAACATCAACATGCATTTTTAACTCTTCTTGAGAAGATGAAAAGTAGCTTTGCCATTCACATTCATCCTAATAAACATCGAACATTTAAACACTTGTAGTATGTTTATGGAAGAGCTTGTGTGGAATTCTTTCTAAAGGTTGGTACAGAGAATTCATTTTCTTTCAAGGAGACTATTGGATATAAATGATTTCCAATGGGAAGCAGAAAAACCACTCTGAGTACTGTTACTCGTGACAGAATGATACCATTTTCCCGCTGTCAGCAGGCTCACTGCGTTCATAGCTCCTTGGCAGATTTTTCTTGATACCCATGATTACAGCATATTGTGATGCTTAAGGCTCGTTAAGTGTCAAGTTGCCTAAAAGCTAAGGTGGCAGGAGCATTTCTTAGAATGCAAAGATTTTGAGACATGCTATAGTGTGTGTGTGTGTGTGTTAGACTTTCTTAATGTTTATTTCGAAGCATGTCATGTTTGAAGAGTCCAAATTAGTTAATTGAGTACTTGAGCCAGAGGATTTTTAAAAAGCACTTTTATTTATTTTTCTGCACCAGGTCTTTCGTTGCGGCATGTGAACTCAGTTGCAGTGTGTGGGGTCTAGTTTCCTGACCAGGGATTGGACCCCTCCGCACTGGAGCACGCAGTCGTAGGCACTGGACCACCAGGGAAGTCCCTGAGCTAGAGGATTTGAGATCCGGTTTATTTTCCAGTGGTCATGTGTGGATGTGAGAGTTGGACTGTAAAGAAAGCTGAGTGCCAAAGAATTGATGCTTTTGAACTGTGGTGTTGGAGAAGGATCTTGAGAGTTGCTTGGACTATGAGGAGATCCAACCAGTCCATCCTAGAGGAAATCAGTCCTAAATATTCATTGGAAGGACTGATGCTGAAGCTGAAACTCCAATACTTTGGCCACCTGACGCAAAGAACTGTCTCATTTGAAAAGACCCTGATGCTGGGAAAGATTGAAGGCAGGAGGAAAAGGGGATGACAGAGGATGAGATGGTTGGATGGCATCACCAACTCAATGGACATCAGTTTGAGTAAGCTCTAGGAGTTGGTGATGGACAGGGAGGCCTGGCGTGCTGCAGTCCATGGGGTCTCAAAGAGTCGGACACGACTCAGTGACCAAACTGAGTTTATCCTTCTGATTCTTTCAGTGCCTTATTAGACTACACCCTCCATCCATGTTTTAGCTTCCCTTTCCTAGAGGATGTTGACTATAAAATGCCAGTAATACAAAAAACAACGTATTATTGTTATGTGAATAACTGCATCCTATTTATCACATGATAATCAGTTTCTCTTATAATATTCAGCCTAGTTTGGGATCTCATAATCATAATCTCATTTTTTTAGGGTTTTAAAAACTCTAGATATACTTGTGATGATTTTTTTTCCTAATTGTTTAGTTGATAACCAAAATTTTCCTCCTCAACCAGAGGCAAAACAGATGTGTGTGAGTCTTCTGTCTCTTTGAAGTATGTTGTTGCTGCTGTTCAGTCACTAAGTCACGTCCGGCTCTGCAACCCCATGGGCTGCAGCACGCCAGGCTCCTCTGTCCTCCACTGTTTGAGTTTGCTTAAATTCATCTCCATTGAGTCAGTGATGCCATCCAACCATCTCATCCTCTGGTCGTCCCCTTCTCCTCCTGCTCTCAATCTTTCCCAGCATCAGGGTCTTTTCCAGTGAGTTGGCTTTTCACATCAGGTGGCAAAGTACTCAAACTTCAGCTTCATCATCTGTCTTTCCAATGAATACTCAGGGATGATCTCCTTTAGGATGGATTGGTTTGGTCTTGCCATCCATGGGACTCTTAAGCGTCTTCTCCAGCACCGCAATTCTTTGGTACTCAGCCTTCTTTATGATCCAGTTCTCACATCTGTACTTGACTACTGGAAGTGTAGCAGTTAAATTACATGGGGTCATGCCTGTAAATCATTTCCCATGGTGACTGGAGCATACTGGAGTCATCAAATTAATTTAGTGAGTAGTAACCTAATTACAAATATATATGTATAATAAATAAAGAGTACATTGTGCATAGTAAGTGTGGAGTGAAGTCGCTCAGTCATGTCCGACTCTTTGTGACCCCATGGACTGTAGCCTACTAGGCTCCTTGGTCCATGGGATTTTCAGGCAAGAGTACTGGAGTGGGTTGCCATTTCCTTCTCCAGGGGATCTTCCCGACCCAGGAATCGAACCGGGATCTCCTGCATTGTAGGCAGATGCTTTACCATCTGAGCTACCAGGGAAGCCCCATAGTAAGCGTAAATATGAAATTTATCTATAGGTATATGTATAAAGTATAGTATGGGCACAGTACTAAGTCATAGCATAAACTGTATTTCTTACTGTAGATCATGGCTAAAATTTTTAAAAAACATTTCGTCTAGGACAAATAGGAATGAAATCACAGTATTACCTTAACTTTCTTTGTGATATCGTCTCATTTCTAGTTATGTAATTTCTGGGGAAACTGAGGAGAATGGGAATGTGGATCAAACTGATGAGGGTCTAAGTTCAAGGAAGGTGAACTTGCACAGGTTATTAAAAGGCTTTTTAAGCCTTTGTTAAGGATTTTAGATTTTATCCTGAGATAAATGGAAAGTGAAGTATAAAATTTTTAAATTTAGCCACCATTTTGTTTGTAACTGTGATTAAATTATGAAGGGAATTTGGGAACTAGGATTGAATAAGGCCTTTCTGGTAAGTGTTCTATTCCTTTAATAAACAGTTATTGATTGTATACTCTGTTTCAGATATTGGTTTATCGTCTCTACTCCCATCTGCAAAATAGGTTTTATAATCCTTTTGGAGTTACTGTGAACATTAAATAAGGTGATATGTGTTATGTGCACATTTAAGAGAGATTTCAGTGACCTTTTCTTTGCCTCTTTAGGACCTAAGCCTGAAATAGAATGTCTTGCTTTGTCATACAATTCCTGGAATAAATAAACTTCAGAGAGACCTATACAGAAATTACCTGCAGTCCAGTGTTTAAGACTCGGTGCTTTCACTGCCCGAGTTCAACCCTGATCAGGGAGTTAAAATCCCACAATCTGTGTGGCATGGCCAAAAACAAACAAAATGAAACAAACGAAAGCTGAGAAAGACTTACAGCTAATCCAGTTTCTCTTTATTTGAAAAGAAAGTAGCGGCTATTGTCAATTTCTTTTTGTAACATCAGGCTCTTCCCATGGGAGACTATAACACTGACATAATCCTGAGATGGTGAAGCTGTCAGAACGATTCTTTAAATAAATCAACATGGAATCTGTCTTTTCCTTCCCTGCCCCCAAACATTATATTGTGTGTCTGACCACACTGGGGTTTTCTTTTCCTTTTTGAGGATGGACAGCGTCACCGTGGGGTCACACTTCCACTGAACGTGTTCATTTCCCTTCCCACTTTAGGTTTCACCACCCCATCCTCAGTCCCCTGCAGAGCAGTTTCCAGCTGGAGGCCGACGTCCTGAGCCACCTCCTGAAGGCCCAGGTTCAGGTCTCCGAGTGGAAGTTCCTCCCCTCCTTGGTGAATTTGCACAGCGCTCACACCAAGCTGCAGACTTGGGGCCAGATCTTTGAAAAGCAGCGGGAGACCAAGAAACATCTGTTTGGAGGGCAGTCTCAGAAGGCCGTTCAGCCCCCACACCTTTTCCTTTGGCTGATGAAACTCAAAAACATGCTCCTTGCCAAATTTAGCTTCTATTTTCACGAGGCCCTGAGCCGACAAACGACTGCTTCAGAAATGAAAGCGCTGACTGCAAAAGCCAGCCCCGACCTCTTTGGAAAGATCTCCAGCTTCATCAGGAAATACGACGCTGCCAACGTGTCCTTAATCTTCGACAACCGAGGTTCTGAGAGCTTTCAGGGTCACGGCTATCACCACCCCCATTCCTACAGAGAGGCCCCCAAGGGTGTGGATCAATATCCGGCTGTGGTGTCTCTGCCCAGCGACCGGCCTGTCATGCACTGGCCCAATGTCATCATGATCATGACGGACCGCACAGCCGACCTGAACAGCTTGGAGAAAGTGGTCCACTTCTATGATGACAAAGTTCAGAGCACCTACTTCCTCACCCGCCCAGAACCTCACTTTACCATTGTCGTCATTTTTGAGTCAAAGAAATCGGAGAGAGACTCCCACTTTATTTCTTTCCTTAGTGAGATCTCACTTGCCCTTAAGAACCCCAAGGTCTTTGCAAGTCTAAAACCTGGATCCAAAGGTTAGCAGGTGGTTTGTGTGAAAGGTATTCAAGACTGGGTATTGTGTTCTTAATTGCTCTAACGAGCTACAGTGGTCTATGATTAGAGGTTCCACCCCACCCCCACCCCGCACCCCCACCCCCCCCACCCCTCCCCCACCCCATGCTTCTTGCAGTTCTAAATTCAGGGCAAACCCTGCCTGATTGCGTTGCACCCTTTATAAGCAACTATGGCCAAGTGAATTACATATCCAAAGAGCAGTCTAGGAGGTGGCCATGGATGCTGGTCTCTGCAGTACAGCAAGGTATTTTTTTAGCGTTTTCTTCTGTTTTCCTGTATTTCATGTAGACTAGTATTTATTGGCCTTTGATTTTTCTTTCCAGATGTTTTATATTGTTCCAAACATTGTATTCCAATGTAATTTCAAATGCCCTGTCTTTCCCTCCCCTCCTTCCTGGATGAGTAACTGAGATACTATATAAAACAGCTTTTATTAAAATCAAGGAATATTTTCTAGCTCATGAATTAGCAAATTAACATGAAACTTTAAGTTTTGTGATCAGCAAATTAATATTTTTGATGCCGAAATTAGGGTCTTGGTGAGGAAGTTCTATCAACTTTTGAAATTGACAGTGAATCAGAATGGTAGCAATAGCATCTGGTTTTTAACAATTCCGAAGATTCTCAAGGCAACTTTAATAGCCAAGGTTGCTTTTGGGATGACCTGCACATCTAGCTGCATTTGTCTTTACCCTTATAACGTTTGAATTTTTCACTCTGTTTTAAAGTTAGTGTAAGCCATTAAGTGGTCGTTTCTTCCTCCTTCAGCTATTTGGCTCTCGGGTTATCACCTTTCTGTTGAAATGCATGCTTATGTTTGGCTCCACTGCCTGGTTATCTTTAGGCTGAAAAAGCAGGCAGTCTTGATTTTTCAGCCACTTTTATGCAACTTAACCTACTTCTATAAAATCAAAATGAAGGTCTTGATACTTTTTACTTGCTAAAAATCTATTGTGCATTCAAAAGACCTCTTCGTAATTGAGTAAATCCACCTACAGTTAAGCACATCTCAACCTGGGTTTCATTCCTGTCTCCTCCACATTATTTTTAGAAGCAGTGATGCATCTTAACACATGCTTCCTTGACGCTTTCCTTCAGTAGGTGTTCATGGGGAAGGAGAGAGATCAGTGAAGACATAATGGTCTGTGGAGACCTTCCCTTCTAGGTTATTGATTCAAAATAAAAATAAGCCACAAAGAGTAATTGAGTTGTTACTATTTGATAGTTCCTTCAAAGCTTGTGTGCAGCATAATGATCAGAGCAGTCCCCTTTCTCGTGATTGCGTGGAGTCACAGTTTCTTACAGGGTGGCCACAGCAGGCAAGCTGGCAGCATTGGCCGAGACCAGAGAGTCTCTCAAGCCCCTGTAGAAGGCCTGCCTATCTCAGACTGGACTCCCTGGTGAAAGAACCCACTGGCCTATTTTCTGTGGAGAACATGTGTTTTTCCTTTCTTTTTCCTTTTAAAAAAATAAAAAATAAAAATATGATTTGTGAAAAGCCAGTTTGCTTTACATAGGAAGTAGAGATTTACTTCTGCATTTTATTCACTCAGGTTCAATAAAAATCTGGGCCGATTTCACAACATTTAACTTACATAAAAAATTGAAAACAATTGGAACTAATTATTCAAATCATTTTTCTTCCTTTTCGTGTTTTTCCAAGAAGCTGAGAAATATTCCTTGGTGTTCATGAATTTTTTTTCCCCCTAGATGAAACCACCATTAGCCTTAATGATACGGTGTCCGTTTACCTAAAAGAAATAGGCCTCAGTGGAGTGTGGCAGAGTGTGTAAATAAGACATATATACAATATTTAAATACTGAGTCCTCGCCTAGAACATATTTGAATTGTATATTTATTTTTAAACCTATTTTGGTTCAAGCCAGGAAACAAAGTCATTTTACTCTCTTGAGATTTGTCCTTTGAAATCAGTAATGAAATGATCTATAAAGTCTATGCTTTGCTAATGTGAAGTGAAGTGAAAGTCGCTTAGTCGTGTCTGACTCTTTGCGACCCCATTCTCCAGGCCAGAAATACTGGAGTGGGTAGCCTTTCTCTTCTCCAGGGGATCTTCCCAACCCAGGGATTGAACCCAGGTCTCCCGCATTGCAGGCGGACTCTTTACCAGGTGAACCACAAGGAAAGCCCAAAAATACTGGAGTGGGCAGCCTATCCCTTCTCCAGGGGATCTTCCTGACATAGGAATTGAACTGGGGTCTCCTGCATTGCAGGTAAATTATTTACCAACTGAGCTATCAGGGAAGCCCCATGTTTTGCTAATGGAAAGAGTAAATGCTCATATTTTCTGTAGACTGTTTGCTTTGAAATATGTTTCTAAACCACAACTTGGTCAATGTTTATAGGTGACCAGAAGTGTAGTGAACACTTACCAAGTTTGCCAACAAGCCCATCAAGGAGTGTTCATTTCAGAATGTTGTTTGGACAGAGGGTGAACATTTATGACTTTGTTCTTTGGGTCCAACCTGGTGTCTGACTGTGTCATCTTAGGGAATGTGACACTAAAGCTAAATTCTTAACCCAAGAGCCAATATCCTGTTTATAATTGCTCTGTACATTCGAAGATACTAGAGAAAATTTACTTTGAAGAGAGAAAATAGTTATTTCAACCTCACTCCCAGTAGAGTCACTCAGGTGATCATTAAAATAAGTTCACCCTTTGATCTAACAGCCAACTTGCAATTTTCTTTGGCAAGTTGGCCTCTGGGTTTGACTTCCTTATCTGTAAAATGGGAATAAGGAAATATGGTCTGCTTTTTCCAAAGGATGTGTAAGAAAGAGCCGAGATCACGCATGTAAAAAACGCTTTGCAAACTTACTTGAATTTGAACACTGTCAAAATAAAAGATGAACCACTGTTTCTTTAAACTTTCCTGTTCTCAGATTTCTCTTCATATTAGTGACAAACCTGTACTTAAGACATTAAGTTTGAATGGTACTTAAAGAACTAGTTTAGAAGAGGTGGCAGATAAATGTCTAATCAACCCACCTGCTCTACTTATTTTAGAATCTTTGTGGTTCTTACCCAAATTTTTATCATCGGTGGAAGCATCATTTCATTTCTGTTTTCTTACTGATATTTCTTAGTCTGGTTGCTCTATCAATTATTGAGAAGGGTAAATTAAAATCTCCAGTTGTGACTGTGGATTTATTTTTGTCAGTTTTCTGCATTTTGAATTCCTTTTATTAGGCCCATACACATTTATACTTTTTCTTTCTCATGTATTAACCATTTTATCATTGTAAAGCTTCCCACTTTATTTTTTTTAAGCTTCCCACTTTATTTCCATTCATACTCCTTGTTTTGAAGTCCATTTTGCCTCTTCTTTTTTCTTTTTTTTTTTAGTTCTACCAGTTTATTGCTACCAACCCATCTCCCTCCACCCTCATGCACACATGCTCAGTCATTTAATCCTATGGACTTCAGCCTGCCAGACTCCTCTGTCCATGGATTTTTCCAGGCAAGAATACTGGAGTGGGTTGCCATTTCCTTCTCCATTTTCTTTCTTTTTTTTTTTTTTTAAGAAAAATTAAGAATAGTTCCTTTGGCTCTGCTAGACCTTCATTGTTGCATGAGCTTTCTCTAGTTGTGACGAGCAGCACCTGCGCTCTCATTTCAGTGCGAGGGCTGCTCATTGCGTTGGCATCTCTCATTGTGGGACACAGGTTCTAGGGCTCCCAGGTTTTAGTAGTTGTGGTTCCCAGGCTCTAGAGCGTGGGCTTAATAATTGTGGCATACAGGCTTAGTTGCTTTACAGCCTGTGGGGTATTCCCAGATCAGGGATCAAACACATCTCCTGCACTGGCAGGCAGATTCTGTACCTCTGAGCCATCAGGAAAAACCTTTGCCTCATTTTTATGACCATTCCAGCTTGTTTATGTTTCCTGTTTGCCTGGTGTGTCTTTTTCTATCCTCTCACTTGTCATTTATTTGTATCACTGTTTTTAAAGTGTGTGTAGTGAGAACTAGAGAATACTGATTAAAAAGAGCAGTATCTGACAGTCTCTGCCTTTTGATTGAAATGTTTAGTTCATTTCTCCTATGAGGTTTTCACAGTCAGGGTTTTGCTGATGGTATCCTCAATCCATTATTTAACACGCTTTCTGTTCTCTCTTTTTCTCTTCATGTTGGGAGTTAGAGCAAGATGTTTGATCAGATTCAGTAATTGCTTTTTTTTTGGTAGCAGGTGTTGTGCATTTTGGGCTTCCCACATGGTGCTAGTGGTAAAGAACCGATGCAGGAGATGTAAGAGAATGAGAGACAGGGTTTCCATCCCTGGTTGGGGAAGATCCCCTAGAGGATGGCATGGCAGCCCACTCCAGTATTTTTGCCCAGAGAATCCCATGGACAGAGGAGCCTGGCGGGCTATGGTTCAAAGGGTCGCCAGGAGTCGGACATGACTCAAGTGACTTAGCACACGCACACATACGTTGTGTGTTTTATTAGACAGCTAATACCTGGCATTGCCTAAATTGGTTCTATTAGTAGAGGTTACAAAACTGTTGGAGTCTAAATATGTCATTCCAGTTTCATTTATTGGACAAATCTGCAAAGAGGAACTGCACCTCCAACTCTTTAGTTACCTTGAAGAACAGCTCATAAAGGGGTGGCTGTATAAACGCTTTCTTCTTTTGTCAGTTCTGAAAATAGTGAGTTGTACAGCATCTTCCAGAGACATTGAGGAGTTTGTAAAGAAATGTGTAGGAATTTATAAGGATTTCTGCCTTTTGCCTCTTAGCTTTAACCCTGAATCTGAATCAAAGCAGCCATTTTTTCCGCTTACTATAGACACTTTCATATAAAAATTACAACCTTCCCTTATTTCTTCTTCATAGTTGATTTTTCTCTCTTGATTACTGTTAACTCCTCTCCTCTACTTTTTCCTCCCTCTCTAGTTTCTAATACCTTCCTCAGCAATTCCACTTTAGCCACTAACATTCTTCCC